TTGACGTTATAGACGCCCATTTTCCCAGGATAGGAGTAGCGGTCCGGGCGTAGGAGGTAGAGGAGCGCACCAGGGCGAAGGATGAGTGAGCCTGGTTACTGAACCTATTCGACCATACTGGACCTGAGTGCGAGAGTTGTCAGAAGGGGTAGCAACGTCGAGAGATGGGGCGCATCGGAAGGAGTAGAGTGATGCTGACCAAGAGTAGGAGAAGAAATGAGGAGTGATTCAGCGGCCTGGTTAGCTTATGTTTTCTCACGAGAGTCCGAATCGTATAGCGTGAGGAAGCTTGTGGGACCCAGAGAGACGGCGGTTGGATACGACATACCACTTCCTGTGGCGTTAGAAGAGGCAGGGCGTGTACCGATACGATACTTGGGAACGTGGCTCGCWGAGRGGCTCTTCCTATGGACAGTGATACTACGAGACGAACGACCCGAGAGGACTCATGATCTAGAAGGGGTCGGACATCTAATAGCGGATAGAACACACAATTTAGAGATAGGGCTAACGCTCGCAGGGGCGAGCAGGAGATGGTGGAGAAGCGAGTTGTTCGCCAGAGTGATCGTTAATCAGCAAGTGGCGAGACTTGCTAGAGGGAGGACTAGTAGGAGCTGCTTGGTATACGGTCCATCACATCCGACCCTCTACCCGAGAAAGGATTGGCGGTTCGGAGTTCCTGCCTTCGCGATAGGGCAGACCTATGGGAGCGTGGATCGTTTGAGGAGAGCAGTGGATCACACACTTTACGCGCTCTGGGAGGGCTTAGCRCCCCGCTTCAAGGAAGTATACTACGCCATTTGTGTGAGGTGGGGGYCGCCCAGTAGAGAGACCCTTGACGACATCATAGATGTTACGAGCTAGGTGGACTGTCTGAGGCCTATCGATCTAATTAGGTAAGGCAGGAGACGGGCAGAGATCGATTACGCGGGGCTAGAGGACGCGAGATTTCTCTTCGAGGTCGCAGCTTAGGGAATGCCGGGAAGGACGGCCACGGTGATGCGTGTAGAAGAGCAACTGGTAAGCACAGGAGACACTGTGACAGTACTTCTCCGAGTGTACGTAGACGAGGACTTGACGGCGAGTGAGTGCAGACAACGAGCTAGGGATTTGATCCACGGGCGTAGAGCTGATGTACTGGCGCGAGTGACCTTCCAGACCTCGATTACTTATGATGTGATGATATGGTCTCATGGTTATATGCGCGCGGAGCACTACCACGATGAGACGGTAGCGGAGGCTAAAGCGAGGGTGAGCTGGAGGAAGATGTGGACTGAGTATGGAAGAGGAGAGTGAGGCAGTCGGAAGAGTGAGAAAGCGCGTTAAAGAACCACTCTTGAACCAGGTAAAGAAGTTGGGGGACAAGTTAAGGGAAATCTGGTCGTGTCAAGACGAGGGCAAGTTGCGAAGGGCTAAACTCGTGACGAGAGAGCTAGAGAGTCTGTTTAGGGAGGAGAGAGAGATTATCCAGGCGTGGAGATCAGACTTTTTGGAGAAGGTAAAGGCTAGAAGCGTAACACGCGAAGAAACTAGTAAACGATCTACAGAAAATGAGACAACGGAAGACAAAGTTACGCAGGGGAGTAGCGACGGGACACGAGCGGGACTGCACTACACACGACGGATTGGTACTCATTACATATGGTAGGGAGACTGAATGGACCATTAGTGTTAGTGATCATAGAACTCCAACTCCATACCAGACTGTGCATAGTTGGGGAAACAGAGTGTTTCCGCCGTGCCCTGCGTGAGGCAAGGGGGACAGGGCTTTGGATTGGAATAGAAGGAGGACGGAGGATAAAATACGTACTCCGAGTAACACCCTTTGAAGGGCGGTCTCGGGTAAGGGCATGGTACGAGACGACCAGAGAGGCTGAGAGGTTGAAGATAAGCGAAGCCAGGAAAAGTGGAGAGTTAGGGAGAGTAGTAACAGATGGTGCAATACTCAGGGTGTTAGCCGCTCACAACCAGTACTGGAAGGAAACGATGAAAACTTTAGAGGCGATAGACGAAGGGGGAGATAGTGAGGACTTTGAGACATTTTATGACATATTGGAGCGGTCGGCGATGAGGCTACAAGTCATTATAGCACTAACTTACCTCAGCTGTTAGACAGATGACCTCGTAACCGTTGAGGAGATAAGGTAGTGGAAATAGAAATTGGAAGCTCTTGGAAGGATAGAGGAAGCTAGAAAGGTCGATGGGCGACATTGGGYGACAGTAGGAGGGYCTTTAGCGGGCTAACCGATTCAGACTGGGCTAGGAGAAYTAGCAAGGAGGACGGAGAGAGACGCTCAGGGACTCTTGAGAAGTGTTGATCAGGAAACATTGGCTAGGTTTGGGATTGGAATCCGTCTCAAGGATAGAGGTCCTGTCACGGGCGTACTGTGGAYCCGGACAGGCACGGCCTTGTTGACCGATCCCGAAGGAGAGGTTACTTAGACACAGGGATTCTTGGGATAGAGAGAGAACACGAGATCTGCGACCGAAACGGGATACTGGAGGTGGTAATCAAGGCAGTCGAGGGCTAAGATTGGAGGCGGACGTGACGTGAGTCGTGACAAAGAAACAGGTTCGGGCTGCCGCGACTGTCACAGGTCCGGGCTGCCGTGACTGTCACGGGTCCGGGCTGCAGCGACTGTCATAGGGTCAGGCTGTAACAGTTGGCTAGAATACCTAACATCATCTTCTCGCGGTCCAATGGAACCCGACACGATGGCGCCACAACCGACCACGGGCGAAGCGGGAGAAGAGTACAGAGCATCGCCCGATCGAGCACTGAGGGATCTGAAGCAACGAATTAGGCAAGAAGCACCGCTGAGATGGGCTGACCAAACCAATGACAGAGGGTCTGACATGAGAGGCGAACCAGTTGCGACAGAGCCGCGGAAGGCTCAAAAGACGGGTACCTCGAGCGGACGACGAGAAGCGACGAGGTGGCGCTCCCCCGAGTACGAGCGGAGGGACACCATAGCGGATAGGCACAGAGACGACTGGAGAGAAAGTTTGAGGGATTCCTATTGGAGGGACAGAGATAGAGACAGGGCGCCGCCCAGGCGAGTCTTCGACCCCCAGACAGGGGAGTCACATCCGCTCCCTTACGAGAGCAAGGATCGCTATATTATTACGCACAAGGCCTCAGAGCCTCCTACCTTCAGGGGTTATGATATCACAGAATATCTGGAGAAGTGGGAGCTTCACGCCAGCCGGAGTCAGTGGTCGGAGGAAGAGATTATAGAGAACTTCCTATTTAATGTGGACCCAAGTCTCGGTAGGGAAGTTAAGGAAGCTCGACCGAAGGATGGGAAATGGACTACATACAAAAAGAATCTCGTTGAACTTTACAAACTGGAGGATAACAAGTATTCCATCAAGGACCTTGAAACAATGACTCAAGATGGAGATGAGAGCGTACGGGCATTTGGGATCCGTTTTCAAAAGATCTCCAACGTGCTGATGAAGAAGGGGAAGATCTCAGAGGTCGAGCGTTGTACTATCTTCATCGGACACTTGGCCAAAGGTAGGCAAAAGAGTATACTTAGAGATCTTCCGCGCGACAGGCTTGATTTCCCAGAAGTCCTAAAGCTCGTGATAAAGGCAGAGGCAGACGATTACAAGGACTTGGTGTGGAGAGGGATGAGGAGACGTGACTTCTCTCTCTACAAGGAGTATGCCACTGATAGATGTCCTGATTTCAAGGACTATCCCTAGTCGGAGAAGAATGAGGCTGTGGCTGAGGAAGTAAAAGAGATACGCGACATGGTGAAGGGATTAACGAGACAGGTTACAGAGATTGTGACCGCTACAGGGGCCACGGTCTACCGGGACAAACCTGGAGGGCCCTATTCACTTTGCTGGGACCGTAGGAACAACGATTCCTGGAGGAGTGTCGAGGATAGAAATCCCCGGACGCTGACTGATTATCGTGCTAAAGAGAGAGAGAGAGACGATGAGCCATGGTGACGTAGGGATGATGAGATAGACCGAGACCGCAAAGATCGCGAGCCGTTTGCGCGAGCAAGGAGGCTGGATGATTACCCGCGAAGCCCTCACTATGAGGCCGATCGCGGTAGAGGCGACTCCCGCGGGCGATGGGAGACAGATCAGGGCCGACGAGATGGATATAGGGACGACAGATACGAGAGATCAGACCGAGATGGATATAGGGACGACAGATACGAGAGATCAGACCGAGATGGATATAGGGACGACAGATACGAGAGATCAGACCGAGATGGATATACGGACGGCAGATACGAGAGATCGGACCAAGACGGATATAGGGACGAGAGATACGAGGGGTCGGGTCGAGATGGCTACAGAGGTGGTAGGTATGAAAGAGGAGATCGGGATTGGGAACGACGAGATAGGTCGCGAGGACGGTTTGAGCGCGGGGGAGATGCGAGAGAGCAGCGCGACGAGTCGCGGGGGTGGTACAACCGAGGGGACCGACGCGATGAGTCACGAGGGCGATATGACTCGGGGAACCGCCGGAATGATTCACGAGGGCGGTATGAGCAAGGAGGCTCTGGAGGAGACCGCCGCAACGATTCGCGCGGTCGGAATGAGAGAGGGGGATATGGCGTCTCACCAGAACCATATCCGAAGTCGCCTGACCCCAAGGCGGCCAGGAATTCGATTTCTAGAGGTGCAGACGACAGGGCATCTACTCCCAAGAACTCATGCATCTACTGTAGAAGAGAAGATCATATCAAGAGGGATTGCCCGGACCTCAAACGAGCAATAGATGAGGGACTTGTCGTGCTTGACGACCGCAAGTACGTCAAGTGGGCAGATGATCTGAGAGATGTATCGATGTTCCCTTCGATGAAGGAGAATGTCGAAGCAAGGAGAATAAAGACGAGTAAAGGTATGGAGCCGGTCAGGAGCCAGAGCGTCAAGATAATCTTTGAGGGGGATATCGCGACCACACCCATAAGGGTGGCAGCCACCAAGTCGGCAAGAGGGTCTACATCGAAGAAGACTGACACGAATTACGTGATGACGGAGAAGGACGGGCAGCGAGTCGATGGAGAGGAGGTTATCCTTTCGCCGCGAAAGAGGGGAGTGAAGATGTTCTTAATGAAGAGTTCGCTGGACGAGATTGACACGGTTGAGCCACTGAGGCGGGCCCTTCGGCAACCAATGCAGTGCTCTATTCTGGAGTGCCTGGCGGCATCGAAGCTGGCTCGTGATGAATTACAGATGATTACGCGGAAGACTCGCATACCTCTATCAGAGGAGGGTCAGGGGGCCCCTAAAGCGGAAGCTTCTACAGTAGCGGTAACGGGGGTGACTGCTAGAGCGGATCGCATAGTCCTTCTCGATGGGATGGAAGGTGTGCCTCCAGACAAGTTTTATATACTTGGTAGCGGGGCCGTAGAGACGATTATAAACGATGGAGCGATACTCGATGCTGTGATTGATAACGGCAGTGAGGCTGTCATCATAGACGAGGACCTGGCATTACAAGTTGGACAAGGCCTCGATAGATCATACCTGTTCGAGATAGAGACGGCTGATGGGAGAAAGCAACAGTTCACTGGGGTTTGTCACAAGGCACCCATAGAGGTCCAAGGGGTACGAGTGACCCTCCCTGTCTTTGCAGTCAAGAACTGCAGCTCCGACATGCTCTTGGGTCGAACGTGGCTGAGCCACGTGCATGCGGTGACGATAGAACGACCTGATGGGAGCCAAACATTGTCCATTAAGAAGCCAGACGAGACACGGGTAATGATTGAGACAGTGGAGCCTCGGGACCCGAGGAACAGAGCAGCTCTYGCTGTGGGTGCAAGACCCAGTGATCAGATTAAGTCGTTGCCTATCTCCAGCCGCGCGGTGCGATTTCGCGAGAAAAAGTATGGACCACTGCTCACAAAAGAAGAAGGTCAGATGGTGGAGGTCGAAGACTTAGGAAGTCGGCTAATAGTGGACGGCAACTCGTACCCGAAGGAAAAAGATGAGGAATTTGGC